GTCTTTGGCAGCAAAGCCCCTGCGGGGAGGGGGCTCGGGGTGGGGGTGGGGCTGTGGGCTCAGACTGGAACATCCTCAGCCTCCCTCGCTGTTGCCAGCCTGTCGTGGCATGAAAACTGTAAATCCGAGAGTATATTGAGAAAGATGTCGCTGTAAAGACAACAAATTCTCATCTATTTTCATTTCTCTTCCGGTCTGTGTACTGCCTAGAGATGCGTTTTAAAGCGCAGCTTCTCTGCGGGAACACGTATAATTGGGGTTTTCTTATTCCAAGGATGGACTTTGGCAATAGATGGAAAACTGCAGAGCCCTGAGCCTGGGAGGGCTGCATCCTGCTGGGGGCTGGGCTTTGAGACTATGGAAAAAGACGCGATTCAAAAAAGGAAGATGAGATAAACTTGTAACAGCTGAGGACACTCGGCTGCTTTGCAATTCTTGGTGATGTTGAAAGTCATATAAGGGAACCTTTTCAAACGCTTGCTGTCCTGGTTTCCTCTCCCTTCCCTCCTCCCACTCTTCTCCTTCCCTTTACATTCTCCTTTCCCAGCTCAGTCTCTGCCTGTCTCAGGCTGTAGCCTGGATGGGGGATTGATGCGGGGGGAGTAGGAAAAGGCTTTTCTGCGTAATTTGGACCTGTAAACTTGGGGAAAAACGACGAGTGCCTTTGGAAGAGCCGTGGTTTCCGAGCTGGCGCGGCCACGTGGCTCGTTGGCAAGGAGGTGGCTATTGTCAGCCACGAGAGCTGCTGCAGCGGGGCGTGCTGTGGCCATCGGAGCAGGGGAGGGGGAGCTGCCTTCCGTCGCCACGTGTGCTTTTCCATTTCCAGAGCGACTTTTATCCCATGCCAGGGCATCTGTCTTAAATCCCGGCACTGGGTAGGCTTCCCAGGTGAGAAGGCTCCGTTATGGGTCTGTAATCACAGATCCCATGTTTTCCCCCCCTGCAAGAGCACCCCAGGATTGAGCAGCAGAAAAACAAAGCAAAGCAGATGCGCAACGAGCTGCCTCGGCGTTGGAGTCGGGATGCGCGTGGGCGTTCCCCTCCTCCAGCGTTTCGGAGCTGCCGTCCCTCCCAGCCGTGCTGCTGCTCGCTTGTCTCTGGGCAGGAATGGCTTCGTTCCAGCTGGTCATCGTTTCCCAGCCCCCTTGGGTGCTCCTGGTCCTGCAACTCAGGGCACCCACCTGTCCAGACTGTCGTTACCTCGATGAGAGCGTGCAGCTTCACTGTACCTGTTGTGGGTGATCTGTCTGTGCATCGCCAGCATGGGCTATTTCTGCACATTAATGCTGCTCTAGTCTCGTTGACCAAATTATTTTCCTCTTTTCATCTCTTTTTTTTTTTTAAATTTTAATTATAGGTGGATAACACTGATGCCTTAGTTCAGCTCTATGTATCGCCGGGGGAGGCAGATGAGGCAAGTAGGGAGCGTTAAATTAGCCGTTCGCACAAAAAACGGGGAAGGGTTTGCACCGAGCAAACAGTAATTGGATTTCATCCTTCAAACGAGGTGTCAGGGAGCCCGGGGTGAAGAGGCAGGTGGGCGGCGTGTGCCTCTCATTGTCCCTGGCAATGTCAGCTGGGGATTCCTGTC